GCTCCAAGACCGCACGATCAAATACAGGTCCGCACTGAAATACTTGTCGGGAGGATACTTTATAAAACAAGGTTACATATTTTTTTTAATTTTTTTTTTATTTTTACACACATATTTTGGTTTATCTTCCTTCTACTATCATTATCTGAAAATTAATGACTCAACTTCAAATATATATATATAATACTTATCTCCTTTATAACCGACCGTGCACATTGAATACGTCGGCAAAGTCAAACTATTTACCATTGTGAACTAAAGTCATCGAGAGGTTATCGCCTCAAAAATTTTCAAATGTACGTTTCTACACGTATTACAGCACAATAATATTATCGATTATCCAAATATAGAACTTCGAGAAGATATCAATCGTCGATAATTTTTTTGAGTATTTCAGAACTCAAGAATTTCACAATACTTGAACGCAGTGCAGCAGTATATTCTTTTATGACAGTGTTATCTCTATCTACTATTATGAGACAATGAGCCGTATTCATAAAAGAGAAGCATATCCTCCGAAGCATAAGGTAAAAATATAAGGTCTTGCTTCGGAGAAAAAGGTAGAAGTATATATAAGCATATCCTTGTTTTCATATTCATAATGATTACCTTATACTCGCGAGGATATCCTCCAAGAAGAAGTAAAAGGTTGACTGGTATTTGTATCTTGAGCGACATGTCCTGACTTGTTCCAGCTTGTAGTTGACGTGGGAGTTCGTTCACTCAGCATCACTGACAGTTGTACTCCAGAGCTTACACAGACCGTTCCGTATTTTTACTGGATACAGTTTTTTATCAAATTTTAAGCATGTCATCCTCAAGTGATGAGGAAACTATAGAAAATAATGACAACGACCTGCAGTTCATCGCAGATGAAATTGCCATTGCTCCCATTATTTTGCAAGTTCCAAAAATAAAAATGAGAAAGGACGATGCCTTGAAGAAGATGTTGAAAAAATACGAATCAACATTCGGTAAACCATTAGATACTAAAGGCTTATTAAAAAAAAATCAACAACATAAAATCAAGACTGAAGAAAAAACAGATCTACAAAAACGGGTAATAAAGCAATTAAATTCTTAGATTGGGGAAGAAAGTTGCTGAAAGCTATGGAAGATGACTGTAATTCTACAATGGGGAAAATTAGAGGTGCTATTCAGGCTGGTAGTGTTCAAGAAGAAGGAAGTGAACTGTATACCGAGCGCAGTGAGCAAACAGTTAGTATTACATCGCCAGGAATTCAGAAGACATTGCCACCAAAAAGAAAATTAACAACAGAGAAATACGAAACTGAGGAAACCAGAGGGTTAACTACAAAAGAACTGTAACGTTTAGTGCTATTACAGCAGTACCAAACAAGTATTTTACAACAAGAGTATTTTAAAACGAAATTAGAAATGATGCAGCGTGAGAAGCCACCTGTATCTTATGATGTTCACGAAAATAAAACTGCACATTTAAAGTAGGTTTCCGTTTTCGATTGATATATTCATCTCCATGGCGATTTGGTTTCAGGATTCTTATATGTGTACAATCAATTACACCAATTGTTGTCGGAAATTGATACATGCTTTGTCATGGATGGTAGTTGGAAACTTGATCCATTCGTTCGACTGTGCAACTATGCTGTTCACAACTCTAGCCACAGTCCAAGATACCGTTGCTTGACTAACACCAAGTTCCTGACCAATACCTTGTTGATACCCAGGGTCACCGAGATAGCGTAGACATATCTTCATTTTATGAATACATGAAAGTGCTCATCCTCGAGATTCCTCATTCTAAACTAAAAATCTGTCTGCAAGCCATTGTAAATTTGCTTCGTCGAACCGATATAATTTTTTGAAGTCACGACCGAGTGAAGGTAAACGAGGTTTGTACGTTTTAACATCCACAATTTCCGCCATCATCGTTTGACCACCTTTCGTTACAAAGTTGAGTCTGCTCCTGACCACACTCAGAATTTTTGAAGGATATGCTTCCTATGCAAAGTATAAGGTGAAGATTATGAATATCCTTTTACTTATGTCACTGCTTTGAAGGATATGCTTATACTTAAATTATTATAAATACCATCTGGAGGATTTCCTTCAAAATTTGCAAGTACAATGATTCCTTTGTTTTATGAATACGGCTCAATGTAAAGGGGGAAGCCACACGGTCTCTAGCGAGGTAACACGTGTGCATATGCAATATGCATCCATTAGAGTTGTTGATTCTCGTTACTTTTGAGTATTCGTTACTCTTCTACAAAGTAATCATTTATTGTATGGAGTTGTCCAAAACGGACGCAGGAAAGTAAACGCATATTAAAACAAGAAAGATTGACATTCAAATCAAGTTGGGTACTTAATTTTGAAGGTTCATTTATATCATTTATGTATGAAAAATAATATCGCTCAAATGTTCACCACGACTGGATTTACAGACGTCCACGCGATGGTCGAAATGTTCAATGACATTTTGCAACATGGTCGGTTCTATGGCATTTATCTCGGCAATGATGTCGTTTTTGAGTTCTTGGAGGGTGGCTGGTTTGTTGACGTAGACTTTGCTTTTCAAATATCCCCATAAAAAGAAGTCCAAGGGAGTCAAATCGCACGATCTTGGTGGCCATGGCACATTTCTTCTGCGCGAAATCACGCGATCACCGAAGAAGGACTGCAATCGATGGATATTGACGTTGGTTGTGTGGCATGTTGCACCGTCTTGTTCTAAATAAAGATCGTCCATATCCATTCCTTCAAGTTGCGGCAAAAAATAGTCCTCTATCATCACGTGATATCGCTCAGAATTGACGGTAACGGCGTCCCCGGCCGCATTTTCGAAAAAGTAAGGTCCGATGACCACAATGCACACCACACAGTCACTTTTTGAGGATGCATCGGCTGCTCTTGATACTCACAGGGATTTCCGTTCGCCCAGATGCGGCAGTTTTGCTTGTTTACCGTCCCATTCAAAGTGAAATGCGCTTCGTCGCTGAACATGATTTTTGATGAAAAATTGGCATCAATTTGGCGGTGTTCAAGGAGCCAATCTGAGAACGTTCGGCGCGAACAATGGTCGGCCCGACGCAGCTCTTGCGTCAATTGGATCTTGTAGGCGTGTACATTCAAATCCTTGTGGAGAATGCGGAGCAAACTGGTTCTCGAAATGCCCAATTCTTGGGATCAACGCGTTGTTGATTGTTTCGGATCGTCTCTCACACTCTCCTTCACAACAGCAATATTTTCCGGTGTGCGAACGCTCCTTGGCCGGCCAGAGCCTGGCAGATTTGCCACAGAACCTGTTGCCTCGAATTTACGCACCAGACGACCGATGGTTGTTTCGTTGGGGCCGTTGTTGCGACCGAAATGTTCACGAAGCGCGCGAAACGTGTTTTTTATTTTTGCACCATTTTTGTAGTGTTTACTTGTAACTTTAATGCGGTCTTCAATCGAATACGGCTCCATAGCGATCAATGGTAAACATTCAACTAACAAAATGACATGTCGGTGACAGAAAACAAAGATGGCGTCTATGTCAAATTGACTTTTACTTTCCTGCGTGCCTATTGGACAACCCTTTATGTATTTGATGAGTAATATGAGTATTACGATTTGGCAACGTGCCTCGTGTACCTAAATTACACTGATTCCAAAAAAGTGCATACATGTTCGTACCGCTATACACTTTTTGACGGACCTCTATACACTTCTTACGTGTCAATCACAGAAGAACAAATATGGCCCTAAAACAGCATTTTAGATCTTTTGTGGTAGAATTTTATAGCCAGAACAAGTCAAAGAAATTAGAAAAGCTGCAAACTTCGAGATCACCCGTACCTCAATCGTTTCTTAAGGCCTAGGTATAACAGTTTTTTAAATTTTCCTTTCAGCAACAAAAATTCGATAAAACGCTTCCTGCTGCCTCTTCAGTCGCCTCCCCGAAAACGTGACAAGCAGACACATTTGAATATTCAGGCAAAAGAAATTGTCCTCAACGTTTATAAGAGCAACATTTTAGAGCAGCCTGAAATGAAAATTTACCTACTTTCAAAACTACCACATTCTATACTTTACTCAAAGAACTTCATTTTGAGTATAGAAAAAGTGGCAGAAATAGTATTTTGATGGACAGCCAAGAGATTATTTTATGGAGAAGAAATTATTTAAAATCAATAAAGAAATACCAGGAAAAGGGAAACGATTTGTTATCTGTCACATTGACAGTGAAGATGGCTTTGTACCCACTACCCTATGGGCATTTGAGTCAAAGAAAATGACCCACTACCATGAAGAAATGGACGGAAGTTCATTTGAACGATGGTTTGAAGAATCGCTCCCAAAGCTTGACGACAATGCCGTTATTGTACTTGATAATGCTGCATACCACACTAGAAAACTAGAAAAAAATGCCCACAATGTCCACAAGAAAGGCAGAAATTCAACAATGGCTCCTATCAAAAGACATTAGTTTCAATGAAAATATGGTCAAAACAGAACGTGTCCATCTAGTCACGCAGCACAAATATAAATATAATCTTAATGTTATTGACGAAATGGCTAAAAACCAAAATAAGACCCCCTTATCACTGCGAATTATATCCCATTGAAATGATTTGGGCGAATATAAAAAACTATATGGCTTCAATCAATAGAACATTCGAATTTTTTGACGTGATAAATTTGTTTTATGGATCTGTCAACATAGTGACGGCAAACCATTGGAAAGATTGCATCCGACACGTTCAAGAGACAATCGAAACAAAGATCTGTGATCTGGACAATATGATCGATATTCAAATTGAACCTGTAATAATTAATATTAACCATTCGGACGATGAATTAAGTACTTCCAGCGAATAAAGTATGTACACTTCTTTCTATAAAAATAATCATTTATTTTTTTAGATTATACCATGACCTTTGAGGAAAATACGGACCTGTACAACCTCGCTTTTGGGCTACGAATGGGGTATAGTCACATGTTTCCAATTTAAAATGAACTAACAACTTACATCGCTAAGTTACAGAAGTGTTCCAGTAGTATTTTTCAACCAACACCCGTAGTAGATATATCCTCGCACCACCGCTATTCGCTAATCGTTTCTGAATTGAACCACGCGCGGTAGCGAATCGTACGACTAGCGCGGCGAAACTGCAGGTCGTACGGTGATATTGGCGCGATATTGAAGCGCAACCGAAACGAATGTACCATGTGACGACGGGCGACGGATTTTTGCGCGCATATTCGGACAACGTTAATTATTAGAAAGCCAGCTCAACGACTTCTCAACTTTCTCTCATTGGCAGACGGACGCGCCGACCTTTCTTAAGGTCGTACACACAAATGTGCAACATGGCGATGTTTCACCGAATGCAAATTACTTCTATACGAGATAGGATAAGACGGCGGTAGATTAACGTGAGGAAACAGCAATCCCACCTTACATGCGTTCGAAGTACTACCCTGTACCTTTTTACTTTTATTACTAGGGTAGTACATAAACAACTTGACAAGGGTCAGGATAATTTCAAAGCCACTTACTAGGGAAGTCGTGTTTCCTTAGCGAGAGATATGGTGGATAGTACTGGATTTTCGCGACCAAGCCTTTTTTTCGGCAAAACCTTTTCAGTACCGTTCACATTCTACCGACTCATGACATGCAGAACTCTACTCGTACTATCTAAGGAACTATGTTCATAAGCTGTCTCGATACTGATCATAAAACAATATAATAATCGCCCTGGTGTTTCTCAATTATATTACTAGAAATTATAACACATTGCATGGGTGAACAGTAGCTTCCTACCGTTTGAAAGTCACGCCTGATATGGCAATACCTTGCACGGAGGAACGGTAGCTTCCTACCGCATGGATGTCACGCCCGTGTGAATGATCATCGAACGGTAGCTTCCTACCGTATGAAAGTCACGCCTGATATGGAAATACCTTGCACGGGGAACGGTAGCTTCCTACCGCATGGATGTCACGCCCGTGTGAATGATCATCGAACGGTAGCTTCCTACCGTATGAAAGTCACGCCTGATATGGAAATACCTTGCACGGGAGAACGGTAGCTTCCTACCGCACGGAAGTCACGCCCGTGTCCATCATCAGTGGAACGGTAGCTTCCTACTGCACTAAAGTCACAAGTCACGCCTGATATGGAAATACCTTGCACGGGAGAACGATAGCTGCATACCGCATAGAAGTCACGCCCGTGTATGTACTCGGGGAACGGTAGCTTCCTACTGCATGAAAGTAACGCGTGATATGGAAATACCTTGCACGGGGGAACGGTAGCTTCCTACCGCATGGAAGTCACGCCCATGTCCATGATCAGGGGAACGGTAGCTTCCCACCGTATAAAGTCTCGCCTGATATGGAAACACCTCGCTTAGGAGGACTGTAGTTTCCCACCGCATGGAAGTCCCGCCCGTGCCCATGATCAGGGGAACGGTAGCTTCCCACCGTATAAAGTCTCGCCTGATATGGAAATACGTTGCACGGGGGAACGATAGATTCCTAACGCATGCAAGTCACGTCCGTATCCGTACTCGGGGAACGGTAGCTTCCTACCGCATGAAAGTCACGCCTGATATGGAAATACCTTGCACGGGGGAACGATAGCTTCCTAACGGATGGAAGTCACGTCTATGTCCGTACTCGGGGAACGGTAGTTTCCTACCACATGGAAGTCACGCCTGTGTCCCTGATCAGGGGAACGGTAGCTTCCCACCACAGAAAGTCTCGCCTGATATGGAAATACCTAGCACAGGGAACGGTAGCTTCATACCGCATGGACGTCACGCCCGTGTCTATGATCAGGGAACATTAGCTTCCTACCGCATGGAAGTCATGCCCGTGTCTATGATCAGGGGAACGGCAGCTTCCTACCGCTTGAAAGTCACGCCTGATATGGAAATACCTTGCACGGGGGAACTGTAGCTTCCTACCGCATGGAAGTCACACCCGTGTCCATGATCAGGGGAACGGTAGTATCCCACTGCATGAAAGTCACGCTTGATATAGGAAATATCTTGACCGGGGGAACGATAGCTTCCTAACGCATGGAAGTCACGTCCGTGTCCGAACCCTGGGAACGGTAGCTTCCTACCGAATGATATAGAAATACCTTGCATGGGGTACGGTAGCTTCCTACCGCATGGAAGTCACGTCCGTGTCCGTACTCGGGGAACGACTTTTAGGCAGCACGTACAACTACAAAACGAGTTCACAACAAGTGTCCATCAGCTAGTGCTAAGTTAACACCTTGTAGAAAAACCTACATAACGCCACAAAATACCAATATAATGTCAAAAAAATCGACATATTGTCATTTTTCAAGATACGTTATATCCGTGCGGTACTTTACAAATTATAGACGGGCCAAGGATTAGCGGACAGAGATAGACAGACATATCGACGGAAATGAGTGTCATGGTTTTTGTGATGTATAAATATGTCATATAAAATGTCATTTTCGAAACGTTTCACCATTAGGCATGGGAAGTAAAAATCAATTACTAACGTTGCTGAAATAACCTGGATCGCCTGAATGTTACCAGTTATAGCGATAAAATAATATTGGGCGCGCTTTAAATAGAAAGTATATTCAGATAAAATATTACCCGACAGCCTTCAAAGTTCGTTTTATTAGATTATTGACATAACAGTTTGTAAGGAGATCCTGTATTATATTTACTAGAAACGTTCATTAATGGACAAAAAAACTATGCTATCACAGTGATCGGATTCCTTTTAACCATTCTTTTTCTTTAATTCTAATCTATAAGTAGGTGTCAAATAATACCAGCTAATATACAAATCGTGTTCCACTTTAATTTGTGACCAAGTTATTTTCATTGTACGAAGAATCTTAAGCAAAATATCGTCAAGAAATTTTTCAAATGCGCAATCGGCAAAATATGAAGTAGCTGGCTGAACATTCCAAAAGCGTCAAAAACTATGGAAAAAAATTCAAAAAACATTTCACGAAATCATTGTAATAATTAATCAGCTGCCTATCTCCCATAAACATGGAAAATATATGAATTGAGGCAAATTTTCTCTAGTTTAGCTTGTCATCTAATATCGTAGAAACAAGCGCATCAGCAGAGTGAATTTTAAGGAGAGTTGGGGGTGTTTGCATGGGGGGGGGGGGGGTAGGGGGCGTTCGCAAGGGAAGGGTAAGGAGGAGAGGATTGCATACTGTATGTAGCAATATGTATTTTGAGCTAAAAAATATTTTTCTTGGTGAATGTTGTTTTCAGTATTGCAAATATTGAATGTAGTTGCCGAAAACTTAATTTTTTTTTTGAAAAAATATCTAAAATCTTCCGGAGTAGTACATGCTTAACAAAAAAAAACCTTAAAACATACTATATTTGCAATGGGCGTATTGAAGAACTAAATCTGCTGCGAATGTATTAAATTTAGTAGAAACACTGATTGGGGATGTTTATGTTTAGCGTGATTTGGATCCGTCAATAAGTTTATTACCAGGACGCGGCAGCAGAAAAGTATTTAATGAGTCTTACATCGTTTTCCCACTTACAAATTCCAGCAGGGAGCGGCTCGCTCCCGCCGTACCCCCCTCCCCTCGCGGACGCCCCTGGGAGAAAAAGTTAAAGAGATTTAGCCAAGGAACTGCTTTCATAAGTCATTTTTGCATTATGGAGGTAAAGGAACGACAACTGAGGCCAAACTGATTAAAATTCAGCGTTTGGCTTGTACCAGTAATATACTAAGTGACATATAAATCCGAACACCCAGTTTAAATGGTTTTATTTTAATAAAAGTTGGTGAATGTATTTATCTTACTGTAAATAACAAGTGAAAAAATTTTCAGCCTTATCAGTTGGACATTCCGGTTTTTATACTGCTTTTTTTTAATTCACTAACGCTCTAAAAATGAATATGTCAGCCGCAGTAAAGAATCAACGTTGGCGGATTTTGGTTCTTGACATCCTTTACGATCGGTTACGATGCCTAGAGTACGGAGACCTGTACGATTTCGTCAACTTAGAGAGTTTGATAGGAGCCGTATAGTGGGACTTCGGGAAGCTGGACTTTCTTTTCGGGCAATTGCAGTTAGAGTGCAAAGAAGTGTAGACACTGTGGTTAGGTGCTGTTAGGCATGGCTTCGAGAAGGCCGTACGCAAAGAGCAAGGGGCACTGGACGCCGCCGTAGAACAACAGACCGTGAAGATCGCCGCCTAAGATTATTGGCCTTAAGGGACCGTTTCTCCACTACCAGGTTCATTGCAAATGAATGGTTTGCAGAACACGGAAGACCTATTGGCATGCGAAGTGTTTACCGACGAATGAGAAGTTTTGGCTTGTTTTCATACCGGCCACACTGGGTCCTCCCTTTAATTCGAGAACACCGACGTAATCGCCTTAAGTGGTACAGACAACGGTCACTCTGGGATCAGGAATGGAACAGTATAGTCTTTAGTGACGAGTCTCGATTTTGTTTAGGCACGCACGATGGTCGTGCAAGGGTTAGAAGGCGACACTGTTGGAGTTATGGTTTGGGGTGCTATAGCTTATGGTTCCAGGTCACCTTTAATCTTCATCAGAGGTAACATGAACGCGCAGCGTTATATCCACGAAGTTTTAGAACCCCATCTTTTACCCTATCTTGACACCCTGGCAGATCCAACTTTCCAACAAGATAATGCCCGACCACATGTTGCAAAAGTCACAATAGACTTCTTTCAACATAATGATGTCACATTGTTACCATGGCCACCAAGATCTCCCGACTTATCCTCAATTGAGCACGTGTGAGATATGATGGGTAGGAGATTGCTCAATTTGCAACGTCCTCCTCAGACTCTAGAAGCACTTCGAGAGGAGTTGGTGGTTGCCTGGAATGAGATACCACAGGAGGACATTGACCACCTGATCAGAAGCATGCCTAGGCGCGTTGGAGAATGCGTAGCACATCAGGGTGCATCCACACATTATTTATGGTCAAAGGGCTTTAAAGCAGTGCAATCATTTTGAAATTTTTATCATTTACTTATTATGCTTCATTAAGTACTTATACAAAATTTTATTAGAATAAAACCGTTTAAACTGGGTGTTCGGATTTATATGTCACTTAGTATACAAGTTTAGTGATCAGCGGAAAGACGAGAGTAGTCGCACATCGACTGCGGGTCAGGGCAGCTGGGCCTTTTTTAATCCTGTCAAAGGTCACACTGCCATCTTAAGTCGAACTGCAAAGAGAGAATCCTGTCCTTCTGAGAAGGGCTGATCTGATCACCCCTAAATACAGGATGCGGCAGAGAGGATGGACGGTTTTAAAAAAATCATAAAATAGTTAATTTTTACTCGAAAACAAATTTATCGATGGAATCAGGTTCACAAGGAAATAGCATTTGGACAGTCAAGTGTGGAAAATGACATCATGCATGTGGTGGCCGAAATCGTTGATGCAGTGCCGGAGGCGTTCTTGGAAGTTCGCGTAGACTCT